AGGCGTCGCAGCTGGAAAGAGACGGTTTGAATGGAGAAGGCGGCGGTGGCCGTCATCATTATTCCTGTCCGCGCACTTCCCTCAATTCATCGCCCTCCGCACCTCGCTACTCTGTTTACCGTCTCGTGATTTGGCCGCGTTCCAACAGTCTGACCGCACAGCCGTCCCCTGCGCCTCCGCGCTCTTTCCGCGTACTCTTGGCTGGTGATCTGTGTACTCCCTCCGCTTTGTGCGGTCCCGTGTGTTTGTACCAAACGTATTCACGACTAAACTATTTGACCGCTTTTCGTATAAGTGCGAGTTTGAGACACTGTATTGTGTTTTTGTTTGCATGCATCACCCTAGTTTGGTCGCTCCTCGTTCAATTTTGATCCAGACCAATTGGGCAATATGCCGTCATCCGTCAGTTTTCTGAGAAAGAAGAGAGTGCGAAAGCATCTCAAGTTCCTATTTGGAATTCTATGAATGCTTTTGACTTTTTTGCCAATAGACGCCCGCGCGCATCTCAATTGGTCAGATGCGAAATGTCCGAAGCCAAAAATGGATCTGTACATCACAGTTTCTCCGTCATAGAACATTTTTAAGTTTGCACAAATCATGTAACTTTTTATCTTTCTGAACCCGTTTTTGAGTGAAATTGTCGTCAAAATTGTCCAGCTATTTTTTTTACCCGCGCTATGACCAGAAAAATAGGAAGTTCTTCTCTTTTTCCGGGAACCCTTTCCGTCTTTTTTTAAACCGGAACGTTGGCTTTGGCGTAGGCGGTTCAATTATGAAGTGATTCGAAAAACATGGAAGTCTAGATGAAATCCACTTTCCGTTTTCTTCACTAAAGCCATTTCGGCTTCAATGTTTCTTGCCTTCGACTACTTCTTTTGTGCATCATCCTCCCAACAAAACTTTTCGTTTTTTTTCTGATGTTTTTGTTCCGACATCTCTCTTTCACTCTTTCTCACTCCATCCTCTTAGTTCCCATTCTTTTTTCCTGCTCCGCTGGTCCTTTTCGACATCTTGTGTTCTGCCATGTTGTCATTTTTGCCTATTCGTGCATAACTAATGAGAAATATGTGGAAAGAGGAAAGAAAACCAAGAATTTCGAGAATAACACCCTTTCCATTGACCATTTCTTAAAGCGAGCAGTTTTCTGAAGGCTCAGCTTTTCTCTCTCAATTACAAATGCTGTGTTCAGTTTGACGGAGCAAAGAACAGACGGCTCAGTCTCTAATTTTTTCAAACTTTAAAAAAATTAGTTAAAGGTGAAACTTCCCGCCCCGGAATCCTGAAAATTTTATTTTCACTGGTGCTCAATCTAACCATCGACCAGAAACATCATGTTGGCACATTTTCAACTATACCATTCAAATAATCAATCACCAGAGCCTACTCGGGAACTGAAATCCGTCTCATCCACGCTGCCCACGATTTGTTCACCTGTTCGTGGTGTGCCGAGCACCATTGTTTATGTCAACGTAAAGGTCGCCCCGCCTCGAGAGCCGGCGACAAAGCATTTTGCTTTATCATACGCCACTCGGACATGTATTTTTATTTATTGAGCCAGCTTACCCCCTCCACAATTTTTTTCAGTGGGACCAAAAGAGCACTGGGCGGCGCTACGACGATACGAATTTTTTTCAGTTCAAAGCTTTCAATTTCTATCCTCCTTTTGCTTTCCCATTTGTGTGTCCATCCAAGCTCTCAATATCTTCTCCGGCTATAATGAGAGTCGAAATTGTTTTGCCGGCCTAGTATTTATTGCCGCGTCGGACACGGCACACATTCCGGCTAGAAGGGTCCCTTCAATATACTGAACGAAGAAGCGAGCGTGAATTGAATTACTATCTTTGCCATTTGTTTATTATTTATGTAGTTTGAGGATGGGGAATTTTAATTCATGTGCCACTCCGTCAGATGAAATTCAGAAACAGTTTCAGATTCATAAACGATTCTCGGCCCTTGCTCTTTTTGCTGCCGTACACCCACGCTCTTCACTCAATAACTCTCCTATTCTGCGTGAGCGACAGCGTTTGCCTGGAGGCAATGTAGGCACATCTGATCTAATATTCTGGTGTATGTAACTCCACCAATTCATTTTCATTCCGGCTCTGCTTTGAACAGCTATTCATCGGCATCCATTTGATGATCAAATTAAGCGCGTCCGACGGGACCAGAACAGATAGAACCGCGGGGAATGGGGGAGAACGAGGAGTAGGATAAATAGGGGATAAGCATTTTGAGAGGACCGATCCCTCTCCGTCCCCTAATTTTCCAGTCACTTGAGCGATATTGTCTTCTTCTCCACACCACGACCAATTGCATTCGAAAGCTTTTCACAATATTGCTTCTCGGAGTTACACAACGCGTGGGGTAGTCTCCGTTTTTAGAAAGCGGACGTCGATGACGCGTTTTTTTGAAAAGAGACTCGAGTTCATCCCTCCCCTCCAACTTACTCTATTTCCTGCCCGAAAATATTTTTTTCCGACTGCCTATTCACTCTGCTTCTTTTTCTCCTTCTTCTTCTTCTTTTCGAAGCCATTTTTGACGAACGACCAAAGGCGATCGGCTTTCCGTCGTGAGAAGGGCGACATTCCTCGGTTGTCCTTTCCATTCTCTGCTAAACGATTTGCGTTACTTCGTTTTTTGGCGTCCATCCGTCCGTCCGTCGCCTCCGCGTTGTTTGAGCGCAGATACATAACCAGTTTCCATATTTTCCCCCTCTAGCCGCACTATCCCGCGCTCTTCTTTCACAAGTATTGTAATATCGTTCGTTATTCAACAGGCGGTCGCCAAATTTCAGGCTATTCAATCAATCATGACTCACCTCTTTTGTACCGTCTTTCGATTAGTAAACGATCTGTCCAGGACCCACTTTCTATTCACAACTTTTTTGTTCACCTCCCAACAACCCTTTCATTTTTTTTAGGAAATTACTATTTCCTCTTTTCCTCTATGCGACCTCATTTTTGAAGAGGATTAACGAACATGACGCTACAAACAATGTCGAAATCTGTCAATGTGCAATTTTATGTTTGGATGCGACACTCTTTTTGTCGTTTGTATACTTTTTCCTACTGTATTCTTTTAATAGAAACCGGAGAATTGCAAATGACATTTGCACTGTTCCGTTGTACAAAAAGCGTGTGCACTTTTTTGAAAACACAGAGTGCGGACCCTCGGTTTCCCACCAGAAGATTTGCTTTCGTGCGTGGAGGGGGGGGGCCTAATCCAGGGTCCAGAACAGCAGATATTTTTCCATTTCTTTTCCATCGAAGCAAAAATATCAAGTTTCCACATTCTTCTCCCTCTTCGTCTGAAACCCGACTCTTTTTGTGTTCCCATTGACCATTAATTGCCAATTTGCGACGGTTTTGTTTAAGGATGAAATGGGGGAAAAATACGACAAGTCGGTCCCCATCGTCCATTAGAATGTGCTGGAGAAGTGCCTCTCTTTTACAGTAGTCCAGGAATAGCGCTGCGCGACCTAATCTTGTATGAATGACGTGACGAAACATTGCTGTGTTGCTGTTGAACCCGTGCCTTTAGAGAAGACGCCGGAGAGCAGCAGTTTGTTCGTTTTGAGAGCTTAAGACTTTCCCTTTTTGCAGGTTTTTCAGTGCGTCTTTCTCCAAATTTATATGTTCCCTTATGTCTGATTGTTGTTCACTGATCTCGTCAGGTTCCGTTTGACGATGACTCATAGAAACCGTAAGCAAACCACACCGTGTTGCGTTTTCAATTCGAATCTATCTATTTCTATTCATTTTTACGAAAGACAGATGAGTCAGTCTCCAAAAAAAACTCTGGAAAATAGATGAGAAAATTCCGGTTTTGTCTCGTCTTCTGGACTACCGTACTCTTTCCACTCTTCCCTGTTACATATCCATTTCCATTTTTATGCGCCCTTCCACTCACAGTTTCCCACCGAATATCGGCACCACTTGAAGTTTGTCAGCTATTCCTTCCCGCCCTCCTTATTCAGTGTGGCGTGGGGTCAAAGTTGATGCCCTAATGAAACACGCAAACAAAGAAGCGTGCACATCTGATGCTTTCTCATGTACACAAGTTGTTTGAATCATAAGATGATGGCCGAGAAGCAAAAAAGGAAGGGAGTGAGAGAACGAGTAGAGTGATGGGAGAAAGAAAGAGGAGCGGACCCCTTGTTTCTTCCTTCTTTTTTGCGTCTTTTTCTGTTTTCAATGTGGTTTATATGACGTGATGTGATGCGCAGTCCGGTCGCCGAATGAGTTTTCATTTCTACTCCAGTCTTTTTCGCCTCAACACTAGAATCTGTGCAGATGGCATGTCCAGGAGCAATTTGAAACGTTCTGACATTCGATTCACTGCAATAATTAGGGCTGAAACTGAAAAAAGAGAAGGACGGCAAGCAGTGGCTCACCATTCAAGTGGCACCGGAAACCACTGCTCGGTCTCTCAAAGATATGGAGCGCATACGTCACGAGCTGCCAATCTGTTGTGTTCTGTTCTGTTCTGTTCTTAACTTTGGAATCAGATTTAGCACGCCTGGTTTACGTTTACGCCTAATCCAATGTAAACTCTAATATATCAGCCCAATTACGTGATGAATATGCGTTCTAATTTCCACTCATTATTATTCATTGGCTTTGGTCGTGCTTCTCATTTCGTTTTTTTTTCTCCTTTTTCTTCTTCTTTTTTTCGTCCCGAGAGCTGCCGCGTTCTTTTCAATGAAAGGCCCCCTTGCCATCAGATCCCCCCGCAAAAAATGAATGACATCATACTCATCATGTGAGTGGGCGGAAGGACCACTCATTCATCGCTTCTCCAAATAGAGGGCGAAAAGAACACTCGCGTCTGTTTCTGCCTTCGTTTTTTGACAGACATAACCACATAAACTCATCTACTCACTTCCTCTTTGTCCCGACATGTTCATCCCTGCCGCTTTCCGTTTTGACACGTGTTATCCGATCGCAAATGTCGTCCCGTCTACCTAATGTTTCACACTTTCAGAGTTTGCGCCCAGATCGATGGCGTCGTACGCGTGCGTCAGTTTGCCCCCACAGTTCATCACTCCGCCACCGTCCACTTCCAATAGCGCTCAACACAATAACGACAGTGATTGTGGAAGCAGGTCAGTTATCTGTTTGGTGCGTCCGTCTATCCGCCCCCGGCTTTTGCTTTTCCCCTCAAGAGACGCGAAATGAAAAAGTATGAAAAGTTTCCTGAACGAGCCTTGAAACATGCCCTTTTTTATTGTCCCGGGGGGTTTGAAAAAGGACGGGGTGAAAAAGACCTACTGGGAAGAATGGAAAGCGCTTTCGGTCAAGAATGCAATCAATAACAGTGATACATGCGCATGCAACGCTGGAGTTCTACATACATGACTTCTGGGAACTTTAACTTCTTTTCTTCTTTGTCTTTACTCTTCTCTTCTGCTCTGGCTACTTCTTTTGGGGAATGTCAGGCGCTCGACGCGGCCCAAATGTGTGTTCTCTTCCAGTGTCTTCGAACCATTCCTGCGCCTATCAAAATCATAAAATCAAGTGATAAAAGTGGAAATCAACGAAAAAATTTCCGTTGTGAATAATGTGAATGGCCATAAAAAGCGTCATCCTCACTTCTCCCGAACACACCGGCCGATCACTTCCGTCCGTCCGTCCGTCTCCGCCGCCGCCGCCGCTCCACTCGTCTCAATTTGTGTGGCTTTTCAGCGAAAATCGTTTCAGCCTGCACGAGGCTGAATCTCCCTCCCTCGCATATATTTCCCCATCCCTTGTTCTCCCGCCCTCCTCGCCGTCCGCTCCGTTCTTTTTCATTTTGCGAAAGACAGTGTGCTTGTGCAAGCGCCCTCTTAGCCACGTCAGCCCCGTCGCCCGGTGCGTTGCATCTGTCCCGTTTTTTTGTAGAAAAAAAACGGCAGATGTCCTGCACGTGCTCGGCACCAGTGCCCTGCACTTGTTGGGCATTTTTTTTCTATCATTGACAACGACCAAAAAAGCAGAAAACTCATTGACCCGTCCGTTTCGTAAGAGCGGTCCCTTTGCGCGCATAGACTCGAACGCACACGTCATTCTTTCTGTTCTGTCTCGGTCTCGTAGGCGTCCTGATCTCGATCAACAAAAACGCAATCTCAGGGGCTAGCACCTGGGACAGCTGAAATATGAAGAAATGATATAGGGAAAAATATTGCTGCCGTCTGAATCTGTCGGAATTATCGGTGCAGGTGAAAATGGGATCGACTACTGCTCCAAAAAACCAGGCTGTCCCCATATTCGGCTAGAACGCACTAATTTTTTTCTGAAAAACAAACTTTGTGATCAACTCGAGTCAGCCTATACTTCGGAGGGTAAAATTGAAGATACTAGGAATTCTAATTCCAAGTGGCATTTTTTCTTTAGAATCACATCTTCTCTCTTTTTTATTGCACGGGTTAGGTTCCTTTTTCGGCGCCCCTCGGTCAGTAGTCGTCTAGGCGCACAAGAGTGCTTTCCCTCCTCTCCGCGTTCGGTTACATCTTGGCTCATCAACTCAATGTCACTGCCGCGCTGCTCCTAGAAAGCCTTTGAAAAAATGAGCTCATCTGTCTTGACTGTGCAATGACGGCCGCCAGATTTTATGCAAATCCGTTGCTTCTTCGTTTGTCGACGACGAAAAGATGGAACATTTCCACAAAAAAGACGCGATTCGTTCGCTCTCTCTCTCTCTCGCTTCTCTGTTTACTCTTCTGGACTTTTGCAATGATCAAACAGTTTGATCGACCAAAATTATAGAAACACTAGGGGGCCACACAATATCGGCTGACGTGTCTCTGTGAGATATTCAACCCCTGCTAGTTGCCTCAATCATTCTCTCCCCCTTTCCTCTTAGTCAATGTGTGTGGGCGAGCCAAAACTCGGTTTTGCAGATGGATGCACTCACCGAGATTTCTTGTGTCAGGCTCTCAGCAATATGCACATTTTTTGATCCGCCCGTCTCATTTATTCTCTTTTTTGAGGACCTGCGGACCACACTACCGCCTTTCCTTCTTCATTTCAAAGGGGAGAGGACGCAATGCGTGACGTGGCTGTTTGGGAAGAGAAAGATTGATGTATAATCCATAAAAGAAAACCAATTGCTTCGTTTTTGTGATGTGCAACGTCACAGTTGTTTATCTCTCTCTCTCTCTCTCTCTCTCTCTTTCCCTCTCTCTCTTTCCCTCTTTTCGTTTCCACTTCCGACTACTGTGTTAGTGCAACCGAACAATCAGACAACCTGCATACATCATCCCATTTCCTTGACGGAGCCATTTTCTCAGTGCTCACGGCAATTTTTGCGCGTATAACGACGTTATGAACAACCTTAATCATAGGTTCTGGACGAGATTCGGTGTGGTTCGAAACCGCGTCGTTTCCGACTCCTACCGTATGACGCTTTTTTTCCGGAAAGCGGGGGCCTATGACGTGTCAAGGGTAGCAATTTCGTTTAATTGGGAGTCCGACGAAGAGAGGCGCAGAAAACGGGACTTTTTCTCTGCTTTTTCCCCTACTTATTATTGAGCAACACCGACAACTTTCTTTTGCTCTGCTTCTTCTTCTTCTTTCCTTTTTTCTCATCTCAGCTTCCTCCCTTCTCACATTTGGTTCATCAGATTGTCGAGAGAGGTGTCGAAGAACATGCCTCAAGAAGTGGCGCCCGATTCGAGCGCCGCTGCAGCTGCAAACTTGGGAATACGAAACGAGTTCTTCCAGCAGTTTCTGGAATCGTAAGTTTGCCAGAGCCCGCATTTCCCGCCAGTTCCAGGCAAAATGCGGCCTTTCCTGAACGTCGGGTCGCATACAAAAATAAATAAAAGGTCCCCTTTTTTTTCAAAATTTTTCAAAATTCAAAAGACAAAACACATAGATGCGACTAGATTCAATATTCGCTCAGACAAGATTAGTTTTCATTTCTCAAAAGGCATTCAAAGATTGAACCGGTATTTAACAATCCCAGCATCATCATCGCGCGCCGGGGCGAATAAATCGGCGGAAAACGTTTTACATTACTTGACGCAAATGTCAACATTTATTTTTTCAGCACTGGCACTGGTCGTGGTGCGATGAACGGTCACGAAGTCTCGGACGATGGGTCCACGTCTCCGCAGCCAACACCTCCGGAGTACCCGAGCCCGCCGCCTCCGAGCAACTCGCCGCCCGAATCTATGACTTCGCTTCAGGCAGAATCTCCGACTGGCGACGAGACCATCTTGCCCGACACAGAGGGAACACCGCCGTCGGACACAGAGACAGAGAGCCGACCGCCGCCAACCGAAGGGACTTCAGCCGGAACTGCCAACCCGGAGAGCAATGTTCACGTTTGGATGGCCCAGCATGGATTCCACGCGGTGCCATTCCAAGGTGCACTTCCGAATGAGCCGCATTCCATTCTCTTCGTGCATGTCAACGACGGACAGCAACTTCAACTCGAAGTCAAGAATGAGGAGGAAGCCGTAGGTACTGATTATATTTCAATTTGCTAGATTCCAAACAGTGTGCCACGTCATCGTTTTTCTCTTTTCCGATTCTCACTATTTTTACTCTCCCTTTTGTGCACACTATTTAAGGGGCGGGGAGAGTGGGTGTCTTGGCCCCGGCCCACAGGTTCTGATGCTTATTTCGACTCCACCCATTCGCTCCGGCTGCCCTTCATTTGCAGTCCGCCAAAAAGACGTTGTTTTTTATGTCAGCGGTCGGGGAAGGCCATTTCGCAGGCTGATTCTTTTTTGGACCATCTCCTCTTCGCTGCTTTTTTTTCACACAGACCTCCGTACATCTCTCTTTTGCCAGTTTTTTAGTTGCTAATTTCATCCAACAGTACTTTTCTCCAAATTCGTTTCGCTTGTGTATTCTTTTGCACATTTGGAAACGTTCGTAATTTCTGAAAACGAAGCGATGTGGAAACGAGAGTACATCCGCGTTAACAGAAAAAGCTTCACAGCTGGGGCTCATCTCTCTTTTGCAAAGAACAAACTCATTAAGGTTATTTATGTCAGTTCAGAGAAGAAAACTCATAATTCAATCGTTAGCTTTGAGATGGACGGATGGTCCCCACTGTTTACCGGGCTGTTCTGCCGACAAACGCATTCATATTAATGTTCTTTGCTCGATTTTGTGTTTATTTTATGGAATATGATCGATAGGCGCTTGGCTCTAGGCACCTTAATGATCCGGTGTCAACATAATAAACTTTTGGTTCCCTTTCCCACTCATTTCGCGGCGCCCTTTCGGACAAAAAAGACGTCGCCGCCCGTACGCCAATCACTCATTCTCTCCAGTCGGCTCCAGTTTAATTTTGAAGCAATTTGTCTCGCTTTTCTATCCGGAAAAAGAGAATTGCTGTGACGCGAGTCGTTCTGCAAAGGCCCCAATGAGCGGAGCTGATGCCACGTCATAGAGGGAGAGGATGGGAATGGCTCATAAATCACTCAGCCGCCTTCTTTATGTTTGCTTCTTTCTCACAATTTAGCGTCATTCTTTTTCCTTCGCTCTCAAGAATCGGAGTTCTCAATAATAATAGACGAACACTTGTCGATTTGTTGACGTTTTTCTGAAAACGAATCCCATTCTGATTGTGACATAAACCCAACAAACCATTCATTAAAATTTTTGACAGATCTTCTAGGCCCTGGAACAGTACGCCTAATCGGAGAAGCGGGAATGACGAACCAACCGCTGCAACTGCAACTTCGTCTCAATCAACAATGCCATCAGTTTGTTGACGAAGAGGTGAGTAAGGGGACCCGGATGCATGCCCCCGCTGTAGTTGCGCTTTGACACTATTCGTTTTTCTATAGGGTGTCCTCCGCCATGTCGTTTTGTCACTCGCAGACGATGGTAATCAGAATCCGCGGGAGCTAAATGTAATTGTCCCCTCTCAATTGTTTCTTGGTTGCAACACTCTGTGCTCATTTCAGGTTCCGCAGGTCATCGGAGTGGATCAGTTGATGAACGCGCTTGGAGTGCAACCGCATCGTGGAAACTCGAGAGGTGGATACGGTCACCGAGGAGGAGGAGGCGGTAATCGTGGAAACCGACACGGGTCAGGGAACGATCAGACCACTCGTGGTGGACATCAGAACAGAGGTCGTGGAAACTTCCGTGGCAAATCTTCCGGAAGAGGACGCGACTACCATCAGGCACAGGTCCCTCGCATCAACAACTTTGCGAACCATGTGCCGGAGGAAGCTCCCCATCAGGTGGCTGAGTTCAACGGTATTCAGCCAACGATCGATTACAACGCTCCTCCCCCAATGGTCGACTACAGTAATCCTCCACCATCAATGGCTGAGTACAATCGGGTTCAGCCAGTGGTTGAATACAATGGTGTTGCTAACGGACCCGTCGGATTCACGCAAGAGATCATCGAAGTCATTCCACCAAACCAAAACCAGAACATGGGACCAGGAGGACAGATTTCACTTCTTGGAGAACCGACAGGACCACCGCTTATGGATATGGCTCTGGCTATGCCGATGGTCTCGATGATGAACGCGCCGCCACCGGGTTTTCAGCCGATTGCGCCGTCAGGAATGCAACTTATGCTTGGTGGCCCAATTGAAAATCAGGCGACCGACATGTCTGTCATGCCGACTATGTTTAACGGACCAATGATGCCGCCGGGCATGCTTCAAGATCAAATGATGCCGGGCCCTTCAATGGCAGTGACACAGCCGATGTTTGGAATGCCGCCGCCCGGACTCCTTCTTCTTCCACACAATGGGCTGAACTTCCACAATAACAACAAGTGGATCGCCGATTCAGCTGCAGAGGTAGTCAAAACAATCCCATTGTGTCTATTTCTAAAACTTTTTGCAGGAAACTGAAGCAATTCGGCAAATTTTCAGTCTGAAACTGAAACCTCCGACTGTTGCGAACGTGCTCCCCACTGAAGCCGAGTTTTTGTGGGTTCCACTCAAAATATTCAATGTAAGTACACTACCAAGCTTGCAACGCTCACAGCAATCCAATTACAGCACCAATACCGCAAAAACGGTGCCCTGTACCCGTGCGTCGATGATAAGGAGATCTCCTACTACGCCTTCGTGTTCAATTCGGAGGGAAGATGTATCATCACCGAATTGATGACCCCCAACAACACCGACCAAGCAATGAAAGGCAGCATCTTCAAAGCGCACAACCTGTATCCGAACAGAAACTACCAGATCAGAATCAGCGCGTGCCTCGTCAGTCGCAACATCCACGGAGAAATGAGCAGTGTCGTCTCGTTCAGAACTGCACCAGGTCGTCCAGATCCTCCAACTTCTGCTGACGTCAAGGTGCGGGGACCGAACTTTTTCGAGTTGTGCTGGAACGAATCCTGCAACAATGGTGCTTTCGTTAGTCTCTACAATGTCTACATCTACGAGAATGAGTGCGGAAACGGCCGTATGTTGCGTACAAAGGAGACGGATGTTCGCGTTGAAGGCCTGAAGCCAGACACTTGCTACAAGATCTCGATCTGTGCGATCAATGCTCTCGGCGAGTCGCTGGTTGGCCATCGTTTTGACGCTTGGACCGATCCGGTCAGAGCTCCGTTGCCTCCGAGAAATGTCTCTGCCAGCGCGATTTCCCATCGGTCCATTGAAGTCAACTGGGACCTCAACCAAAATTGCTACTACTCCATCGAGATGTACGATAGCTTCAAGAAGACTTCAGCGATTGTTCGCGAAGGAATGGGAAGCAACACTGCTATTCTCGGAGAACTGGCTTCGGACACGGAATATCGCATTCGTATCACGGCCAGAAACTCAAAAGGAGAGACTAAGTCTTCGTGGGTGTCGGCAAGAACTCAGCCTTATCGCAAGCCTGATTACCGTTATCGAGAGGATAGTTTCAACCGCCAACTTCGCCCGAACTGTGACCGCCCACCTTCGCCTCCATCTTGTGAGCCTACTCACGGTGGACACCCGGAATTCCGCTGGAAGGGTTTTGGACCAAACCAAGGAAGTCACATCTATGCGTTGGAAGGATCCACGTACGATGAACCCCAGAATTTCCTTCTTCTCTATCGTGGTTCGGCTACGTCGTTCGTCGTCACTGATGAGTCCCTTCATTATCTTCGTTTGCACGTCATCTATAAGAAGGGGGTCAGTTAGCAGGCAGTTTTTATGATAATTATTGTTTTTGTTTTTCAGCAGCTGAGCCCATATTCGGATCTTGCAATCATTCCTCGCGAGTACGGCAAATATCGACCGGATTGCGTGCACATGGTACGGATAAGAATGACCACTGATGGATGTCTCGCTGTCGAATGGGATAGTATTAACACAGAGGTGAGCCAATTTCAAGGCTTGAGCTTCAAATAGTAGAGTTTTTGTTTCAGAATGGCAGATATCCAGTCAAAGTCGTGGCTCGCTACCAGATTCAACGTACTGACCTTTCGGATACTCCCATCATCAGTGTTGATGAGAATACCTCGCATGTGTTTGATGATATTCCGGCTGACACAATGATCTCGGTGTCTGTGCGCTCAACGATTTACTTCCACGGCTCTTTTCTCCCGGGAGACTGGTCGATTCCAGTCAGCTTCAAGATTCCCGGCAGCCTTCCGCCAGTTGTGACCAACATCCTTTTCAATCTGGAGACATCTCTCCTGTCGTGGGAGTCTTTGGACCAATCGGGCGTTCTTCCGTACACTGTGGGAGTTATCAACCTGCAAACGGGAAAAAGCGTTCTGAGAATCACAACTACCCGCAGAAACATTATTGTGGATGCAGTTGAACCGGGATGCTCTTATCTGGCTACCGTCACCACTTTCACCAACTTTGGACGTTCCGCTCACGATACCACACTGGAGTTCTGTATTCCCGCATTGGTGCCAACTACTCCGGTTGAGACTGTCGTTACTGAAATCGGAATGAACTGGTGCATCCTCGAATGGGAAGAATCGCAGCCAAACGGATCAGAAATCACGGGATACATTGTCAAGATGACTGAAGAAGGAAAGTACACCCGTAACAAAGAAGTTCCTGTCGGTTCTGCATCTGGATACATGGTCAAGCTGAAGCCACTGGCTCCCAACACAAAATATCAGTTCCAAGTGGTGGCCAAAAGCAAAATCGGAAATAGTGAGCCGGCTATTATCAACATCAGGACTCATCCGCTTCCACCGGTCCCGCCAAAGTCAGTTTGAGATGTCGATGATGAATTACCTCTTTTTTATTATTTTTAGAATGGAATGTGATCGCGAATCAAGTGCTCTGAAACTCCGGTGGCAACGCATCACTACTAGTGAGGACATTGTCTACAAGTACGAAAGCTCAAAATTCTCTCCTGAAACGCTAATTTTTTTGTTTCCAGGGTCACTCGCCTCAACGAAAATGGTCAACAGCAATCGGTATATGAGGGTGAAAACAACACCTTCAAAGTGAAAGGATTGACTGAGGACACCGAATACAGTTTCCAAGTGAAAGTCACCGACAGAAACACTGGATCGAGCGCCGTGTCCGAGTCCTACATCTTCCGCACAACCATTGCTCCTCCGCCGCCAATGAAGCACGCGGTCGTCTCTTCTCTAGTTCCTGGAACGTCGTACACGTACCACGTTGAATGGAGAAATGCACTTCCGGCAAACTCGCCGTACAGACTGTTCTATCGCCTGCAAGTAGCGGATGCAACTGTCCCAGGTGCAAGATGGACTATGGTAAGTGGAGAGTACGGGTTGATCAGTAAACTGAGGTCATTTACAGGCCTATGAAGGAACCGCGACTTCGTTCGATCTGGACACGGAGCAATTCTCGGGAGCCCTGCACATCAGAGTGCTCTGTGTGCGTGTTCTTGAAGGAGATGAAGAGTTGAAAGGAAGTCCGAGTCCGGTCGGATACATTGCCAACGAGCCACCAGCTCCTGATCCGGACGCGGTATTTGTTCAATTTTCAATTTCAACTAGAATAATTTCATTTTCAGGCTCCGCAGAACAGCAGAAGACAAGAGCTTTTTGCTCTCTTCAGAGAGACAATCCGTCCTTTCGGCTTTATGGTACAGTGCTGGCCATTAATATATGAAAAAATGGTTTTTTGAGGATAACTTTTTTTCTAGTTATCCGGGGACCCTGAAACTTATACGGTATACAAAAAAAGTACCGTTAGGCAAAGTTGCGGACTTTCAAACTGCATCATCAGTTATTTTTTTCAGAAAATGTTTTTTTCATTTTTTTCGATTTTTTTCGATTTTTTTGACGTTTTTTTATTTTTTTCGATTTATTTTTCTGTGATATCATATGACTCTAAAATGATTTGTAGACATGGAAAAACCTTGTGGAAGACAAAATGTGCCCGTAGATGTTAAAAAAGCGATCATCCGAGGTCGCCAGCAGGGCATGAAGTTGAAAGATCTTGCTCAGCAGTTTCAGCTCGGTATTTCCACTGCTTTCAGCATTTTGAAAAGATTCAAGACGCAGGTAAGGTTCAAAGTGTTTGTCAAACCCAATAAAATATTTAGAATACCTGCATCGGTCCAAAGGCGCCAGGAAAACCTCGTGGAACCGCCAAGGCCATGGATCGGAACATCCTGAGAGCGTCGAGAGAGGATCCCAGAAGGACTTCAACGGAAATCCAGATGGTTGTGAATTCTCCCACGGATCCAGCACCTTCTAGAAGAACAGTCAGAAGACTTTTACAAGATGCTGGGCTCCATGGACGACGTCCAGCTCGCAAACCAGAAGAACCGGAAGGCTCGAGTTGCATGGGCAAAAGCTCATCTCACCTGGGGACCTCGCGAATAGGAAAAACACATCTGGTCCGATGAAAGCAAGTTTAATTTGTTTGGTAGTGATGGAAATTGCTGGATTCGGCGTCCCGTTGGAACCAGATATTCTTCCAAGTACCATCTTTCAACAGTCAAGCACGGAGGAGGATCGTGTATGGTATGGGGATGTTTCTCGGCCAACGCTATGGGACCTCTGAGACGTATCAACGGAATAAACGTCTTCTGATTGTTCTTCTAGAAGGTGCTGGATCCGTGGGAGAATTCACAACCATCTGGATTTCCGTTGAAGTCCTTCTGGGATCCTCTCTCGACGCTCTCAGGATGTTCCGATCCATAGCCTTGGTGGTTCCACGAGGTTTTCCTGGCGCCTTTGGACCGATGCAGGTTTTCTAAATGTTTTATTGGGTTTGACAAACACTTTGAACCTTGCCTGCGTCTTGAATCTTTTCAAAATGCTGAAAGCCGTGGAAATACCGAGCTGAAACTGCTGAGCAAGATCTTTCAACTTCATGCCTTGCTGGCGACCTCGGATGATCGCTTTTTTAACATCTACGGGCACATTTTGTCTTCCACGAGGTTTTCTCATGTCTACAAATCATTTTAGAGTCATATGATATCACAGAAAAAAAAATAAATCGAAAAAAATAAACAACGTCAAAAATCGAAAAATCGAAAAAATGAAAAAAAAATAAATGATGATGCAGTTTGAAAGTCCGAAACTTTGCCTAACGGTACTTTTTGTATACCGTATAAGTTTCAGGGTCCCCGGATAACTAGAAAAAAAGTTATCCTCAAAAAACCATTTTTTCATATATTAATGGCCAGCACTGTAAGTATAACTCGTCGCCTGATATCAAAATTCTAAATTTCAGATCGTAATGATTGCTGTTGTGCTGAGTCTCATGTTCACTTCGGAAGTGCTGTTCCGCCGCATCAGCGAGGTGGACAGCTCCGTCTCCAATGTGAACAGTGTTCCGTCTTCAACTTCATATCTCCCACCCGGTGTTCCTCGCGGTCCCCCCAGTGGTCCATAACTGTTTACCGATTCCTCAACCTTCTTTTTTCCCACTCAATTAAAACACACTCTATGGTTCATGTGTAATTTATGACCGAAACTCCCAAAAAAAGGCCAACCCTTCCCCCAATCTGGTAGCTTTAAATTATTGGTTTCCTGATCACTTTTGAATATTTTGGTGTTCCGAATAGTAACTTGACGCCTCCCCTCAGTGTCATTGTTCTGAACAACCCCTCCCGTATTCAAAACCGCATTTTTCCTTGAAGCACAGCTCTTTTCCATGTTCATTTTTTTTATCAACTCTCTCGGTTTTCTGTATTTTTTGCTTTTCCGCTTCCGTTCTTCTTACTTTCCCGGTGGAAATGCACCGTTTCACAAGGAGATGACAGAAGCACTCCCCATTTTTATTGTTCGGTTTCCTAATTCCTAATTTTTTCCACAAAATCCTAGATTTCTTCTCGCCCAGGTAGTCTTGCTCGTGACAAACGAATCCCGCTTTTATGCTTTACGATTCAGAATTTAATATATATTTTGTGCCCCGGTATCACCCCTTCTCCCCGCTTTTTGGCCAACTGAAGTATTTAACTTTTCTAGACATCTGTCGCACGCCGTTGATCGGCCTTCTTCCTACTTTCCAAATTGTAGTTTGGCAAACGAAACCTTCCTCATCGTATCTGACCATTCTCTTTTCTTCTCAAATGGCTATATATTTGTGTCTGTGAATAAAAATTTTGGGAAAAACGGTTCGTTTGACTTGGCGGAATCGGCGGGAAAGTCGCGTTCTTTATGGATCAGCAACTCGCGGTCTTATAGTTCCAGATCACAAAACAGTCGGATACACCCGTGGATAGGAAAAGTTTAAATGATTCAGCACATCGATTGTGGAAGTTTCTGGTGCAAAACACCTTTGGAGATCAAACTTCGACCGCGGACGAGACGGAAGGAGTTCCACAGTATTCATTGGATTCACCAGAACACATCATATCGCAACTGGACACTTTGTATCAGAATCCTTGTTTCGAGTTGCAGATAAAGCCAAAGCGCTTTGTGTACAAGGCTGAAAATAACAAATGTTTTTATTTGTCACTCTATTGTCGCCAAAACATTTCGTGTTTCCAATATTCGTGGATGTTTTTCTTTCAAAAACTTTATAAAAGCTGTAAACTGTAGATTCGGATGGCGTTTTCTTCCTCTTTTCAATGAATCATTTCTCTTCGAGAGGAAAAATGAGGAATGGAAACGATGACTAATACATTTGTCTTGTTTTCCAATTCTCGTCTAATTTTTGAATCGAGACTAGAAGTTTACCCACCGGGATTCATTATCGTTCGTTACCTGCCGGAAAGCAGACTTCACGCTATCATTGATTCGTTTTTGTTAGTGTCCCAACCCCATTTCTGCATTTTTTAATTTGAAACCATTTGATAAATGGAAATGAGAGGCTCCGTCTCATTATGGAACCTTCTTAGTTCTCAGTGCTATTCTCATGACGCTTTGAATGAGTAAAAACCAAAAATTTTCAGAGGTGCTACTCGGCATTTCACGCGTGTCACCCTCCGACTACTGTATCTTTACGACGATTTTGACAAGCTCGGCAAGCGCCCAATTTTCATTCCTTTTCTATTCATTTTGTTCATCCGTCTCTTATTCTCTCAAGACGCGATGAAGATTCACGAGATTTTCAATTTGTTCAGCGGCAGGTATGATTTTTTGAAGCGAGAACATTGTAGTCGTACTTCCGCTGCTTGGTGTTTGGAAAAAGATACAAACATTTCAGACGTTCTGACATCCCATACACGAGTCTAAACCGCAAGAAGCAGCCAATGTCCTCCGAAGAGCCGAAGGTGGAGGAAAAGAAGACGAAGCAGAAGGAAAGCTTTTTTGACGAAAAAGTTCCGTCGCCGTTCAAAGAACTGCAGCAGCAGCTTAGAAAGCCGGAGGGAGGTCAGTTGGCCAGTCTCGGACTGCTTTGCGTCGCCATGTCCCTGGCAGGACTCCCTGTACTCATCGATACCAAGATGTCAGATCCTTCTCAAGAAGAGTCCGACGGTTCATCAAATCCACCAAGACCCAATTCCGCCTGAGGTACAACTGCTTTGTTTTTTTTAAAATAAAGTGTGTAATTTTGATTTTCAGCTCAGCCAGCCAGCAGAACCTCACACATCGGCTCATCCAGTGACGCACTTCTTCATATTCGTCATCGTTTTTTCCATTTAGTCAACATCGTCCCTAAATTTTTTCTTATTCCTCTCGATTCCTCTCGGCTTTTTAATCAACAGCGGTTTTCGCTCTCATTCGATGTGAGCCAATGCAGCCTCTTTTCATTTTCGTTTCCATTTCAATTTTCTCATTAAATATGACATTTTGGCGCCGAATAAATTGCTATTTTATTGGAAGTCCGCGTCAGCCACAATTATCCGCTCAACGCTGGCTCAGAACGACAGCTGCCCTCTTCCATGCGCCACTCTCTTTTCACTTATTCTCCGAACGAAAAAACGTCGATTACACGGCGCCCGTCCCCGGCCAGCCGGCCGATCGTGTGTTCTTTCCGTCCGGCGTCTCGGTCTCTTCGAGCCCCGCAACTGTCCGTGCCTTCCACCGCCGTCACTCTCATCGCGACTCGAATTGATTTATGTTCACACTTGAAGCCGAACTGATGTGTCCGGCCGGCCTTTTTTCAATTTAGTCAGTGGTCGGACGAACGAAACGAGCGCACCGTATATTTCAATTAGAGCGCAGCCACCGGAACTCCGTCTTTGTGAAAGGGCCCACTGCTCATTCATCAATTTGAAAAGGAATGAGCCTTCCCTTCTAAATTCAAAAACGGAATCTCTTTTTGAAATGAGTTTGATGGAGCCTGAATTTTATAATTTAGGGATGTCAGGGAATAAATTCGAAAAAAATTAATTTTTCCTACTCAGTCTCTTCCCATAAATGTTTGGTCTCTAAAGTAAAATTGGCTTCATTTGATCGAAGTTTTTCTCTTACTCTCATTTTGTCTTCAATCCTTAATTCTTTTTATTCAAGACCACGTGTGCTCACTAGTCACTCGGAACCCTGCTTTCTCACCCAGTTCTCACCCCCTCCCCCCCCTCTTCAATTTTCTCGAATAGTTGCTAGGCAACAGTCATTTCACCTGCCCGTTTCCCATAAAAAGTATAGCTTTTGTTTTTGTCGATTCGATTCAGAAGGTGTGCTTCTATGGTAACAGGCACACCGTTAATCGTCGGTGTGCAGTGACTCATCCTACGTATGCAGAGCAGAAACAATTTATTTCGTAACGTCCGCCCACACTCATGTTTTTCTCGTCTATACAGCTATTTCAGTCTTCTATAGCGATAGAGAGGAAAAGTTTGGGGGCAAGAGCAGTGCCACGTCATACAGAAGGAGCCAATTTTCATGCATCTCTCCTTCTCCTCTCCAGACAATGCGTTAAACGGCGGCGGGACACCGATCGCATCTTTCTTTGTCTTCCTTCCCTCGTTCTTTTGTTCCACTAAGTCTCATTTCATTCTGACACCTCCTGCAAACTTACCGCTAACCAGTTTCAAGGGCGCTTTCCCTCTGTTCTTTGTTTTTTTCCTATTAGTTTCGAGGTGGGAAAATCAGAAGCGGAATTGGTCTCCAAATGTAGAGAATAATCTCTCATAGACATCATAACGTCAGTCAGTTAGATGCATACATATTTCGAAAATTCGTAGGGTTTCACAATTCTCTTCTTCGTCGATGCACATTACGTCTTCTCTGTCACGGCTTGTGTTCAAAGTAGGGATAATGAGGAGATGTGGTTTCTGAGCATGCACCGGCCTTGCCTTTTTAATGAGAAAGAGTGAGTTAAAAAACCCAAACCTAAAAGCCAAAATTGTGTTATTTCTGTCGGTTATACAAAACGAATGACAGGTGTTTCTCGTTCTCTTAGATTTGGTCATTTTTTTCTCTTTCACAAATTTTATTTTTCACTCTAATTATCGATTCTTAGTGAGCTTCGATTCTCGGCTCTTGGAGCAAAATGAGTGGTGTGGTGGCAAGAAAGGGATGCGAGTGAGCGAGTACGAGTGAGATATGCGCGCATTCTCAGAGTCGCTCAACTCCTTACTCAAAGTGCTCGCTGCTCGCCTATTTCGAGCGCCTCTGTGACTAAGGCAATCTGCATCGCGGCGCTTCTCTCCGCTCGCGCATTTTCTCCGCTTTTACCTCGGGCATTTCGTAGATGAACAAATTTTGGAGCGTGCTCATTTCGACGCCCTATCCCATTCATGCAGGGGCCGAATTCTAATTTATTCGCTTCGGGCATCCCTTCTCTCTTTTTTCCATCCCCGTATTTCTCTCATTTTCTCATCTTCCTTCATTGCTCGAATGTGTGTTTTCGTATTCTCCAAATTGGTTTTCTCTTCCAAAGTTATACAAGTTATATTTTTAATTCTGTATTCAATCAATCTGACCACGCTTATGAATCATCTATTCCCATTCCTCAGCCAAAGTGACTCGTTTTTGTTTATTTGTATTGTCGTCAACATTCCCTTGAAGAATTTATCACGAGTTCTCTTTCACCATGTTATTCTCATCATCAATCCAAAAAGAATCACACGTTTCAAGTCGAATGTCGTATTCTTTATGCATTGGTTCTGCCATTTTCCTCTCTCCAAACAACTTTCTTATCATTGAAAACAGCATTTTCACGCTGATAACATCCAAAAATTGAGTCAGTCATCACGTGAATCGTTTGAAAGAGAGCAACACAGCGCGCGAGGACATTTGCCACGTCAGCGAGGGAGAGCGAGTGTCGGCGGATGTGACGTGTTGGGTGCGCGTTCGTCCGTCCGTGTTTGCGTACTTCCCAATTTCGCCGTGGATGTTGTTGGCCTACACTGATATCTTAGTTTCTTTCGTTTTTTGTTCCGCAAACCGGTCTTTTCGAGGGCAAACCAAGATGGAAACATCATCCAGTCTGATTGGCGCCACTGTGTATCAATGTCGACTGAAACTTTTACACTTTTCCGCCTTTTCGTTCAAGTTCTTCCGCGGAAATTTAACAACAATGTTTTTTTCAGCGAAACACCTACTTTCCAGTCTCTTCTGCCTTCGCCTGCTGCTTCCCGCATCGGGCGAAGTGTAGTTTCTAGAAATTTGAGGTTTGTGACGGATAAATGCGACTTCACGCCTACAAATATGTTCAGAAACCACCATCGCTCAACCAGACGAAATGGAGACAGCTGACAATGTGCAACTGGGTCGAAAACCGCCCGAAGACTCACCGGAATATGTGGAACCGGAGTACATGAAATGGGCGTACAGAAACTCGCCGCCAGTCGTCCACGAAGAGCCGCAACCGTTCACTTTCGAAGTTTTGGCGCCCGTCAAGCACCTTCCCAGCCACGTGAGCTCTCTGATTGCTGCGAACCCCGTGTTCAACGGGAAACTGGATGCGTCAACAAGCAGCGCGTTCAAAGATCTGGGCGCTTGGTCGTACGAAGCCGCCAGAAGTACCATGAAAGGTCTCTGGTACCAAATGTTCTCTTCAAAAGTCTCCCCAACGTATAATAATGGTACGGTCCGGTAGTTTGGTCTTCAAACTTTTCTTTCTTGCAGCAACACCAATGGAAAACGTGTATTCGAAAGGCCTTGCTGCCATTTCCCAGTCGAATCAGTCGTGGCGATTGCCAGGCGGTACGATTCCACAGAGACCTGCTGGCACATCAACCGAACCACCGCCAGTTTCGGAGAAAATGTACTGGCACGCTCAAAATTTGAACAAAACCGACTTGGGACCAAACATGAGTGCGCCTGCTAATGAGAATCTGACTTCCTCTTTCTACTCTGGATACAATCCGACTCTCTACAATTGGACAGGGAACTTACCGAATGCGGCAAATCGAACGGCGCAGATGGGAGCAAGAGCTGAGCAGTCCAAATTAGTGCAGAAAAACTTGGATGCAATGATGGCCTATGCCCAATCTCTTTCTGGTCCCCTCGTGGATGCGATGAAAGCGAAATTAGCTGCAACTTCTGTTCCGGCGGAGGCTGAGAACGCTCCAAAAGAACCTGTTTTCAAAGTACCCGCGCCGGTTGACAAGAGCAAAAAGCCCGTTCAACGCTCAAAACTCAGTTTGGCTATCTCGAAGAATGTACCTGTTGGAGTACCGAATCAGCCAAACGAGGCAACGAAGGTTGCCGGGGATGCACCCGATACTGCCGAGAAGTCAGACGCCGAGAAGTACTCGCTGGGCAGCGTGAATCCAGAAATAATCTTTCGTGTATATACTGCTGCATACAATCTGAGCAGACTCACCGACAAGGAAATCTATTTTCTCTGTCAGGAAGAAATCAAAAAGGATGCTGAAATTGCAGCTGAAAAGGCTGCTGCGGAAAAGGCTGTCGCCGAGAAAGCCGCAGCTGAAGTTGCTAAGAAAACAACTACAGTATCCGGAGTAGCAACAACTGTGGCAGCCAAGATTTCCGTTCCATCAGTAGGTGTTGCTGGGATTCACAGAACCGCTGCGTCACAAATGTCGTTCGAGATGGAGGAATCAATCAATACCGGAGAAGACCATCGATTTGTCGCCATCGACATGAAGAAGTTGAAAGATTCTGTAAAAGATGGTAACGATGATCACCTAGTGCTTTCCAGTTAATTCTTTTATTTATAGATCTGCCAAAATTTGCACTTGACACCAAGTTAAGTGCGACATTGGCTTCGAACGTCAGAGGTTGGTGACTCGTTCCTTGATTTCGTGCGAACATTTTTTAATTTCAGTCCGTGAGAGCACGCGCACTCAGAAGCGAATGTATGTGGATACTGACAGCGATTTGTCTGACGACGACGACGACAAAGAGATCGACATCGCGGCAGCTGTTCGAGAGATTGATGAAAAGCACAAACGTCAGGAAGCGAGAGAGAAACATTCTTTGAGCATTTCTCTTCCGAATCCAGATGAATACAACACGGACATTTCATCGGGTATCAGATTAGAATAAGAGCTTCCGATGAACGCCTGATATTTCAGATTTCTCTAGCGGCAGCAGATTGGCCAGCTCTCCGAGAGATTTCAAGCGAATGAGAACAAATGATGGAGCAAGTGCCCCTGGACCCAACCAACGCCGTTCTGTGCGCATTCAAGACGTTAGTTGTTCCAGTTAGGCAGCTAGTCAATGTTGTTTTATTTCAGAGCATCACAAAGAAGGAAGACTACTTCTTCAAGGTGGCAGTTGCGAGATCTCTCGAGTCGGAAGAGCTTTCGGAAGGGAAACCCGCCAAGAAAAGAGCTGACTGTGTTCCGTCGGTTGCCAAAGCAAGAGTTCTGCGTAAAAAAACGTCGAGATTCCACAACCGTAAGTCGCGAAAATCAAAGGATCGGGACGGAACTGCGGAGAACTCGCCGACACCGGACGTTCCAAAAAGAGTCAGAGAATACAAGAAGATAGAAAACTACTCTAAGAAAGTATCTCCTGTGAGTAATGGATCTCTCGATTGTCCGGCATGAGTGTAACCTTTCAGGAAACTGTTGAGAGTCTTTACTCGAGCGTTATGACTCCCACCGCACCGGGAGACTGTCAGATTCTTGATCACTTCAGATCGCCGGTTCTCCGCAGAGCAATTGTGAACAAAAACGTGCTTTGTTATGTGATCGTGATGCTCCAAGTGCTTCTCAGAGTGCCACAAATCTACTCAATCGTCTGTTCTCACACCCACAAGGAACCCATCGATCGGAAATGTATCATTTGCCTGATGACCATCATGGTTTCTAAAAGACCCACTTCGTTGGATCACTACAATTTACTCGATATTCTGAAAAGTAGGGCTGCGAAAGACGAAATGCATGCTCTATGTTCCACTTTTCAGCTGCTTGGGAAGGCGTGGCCGAAGACAAGATGAACTGTGTGATGGAAGCCATGCAACACTTTTTCAACCGCTTCGATGAGGAGTACATGCTCGACAACCCGCTCTTTGCTGGCCAAACGTCTAGCGAAATTTCTCCAATTCGCAACTTTTTCGAGATTAAGACTGTAAACAGATGTCAGTCATGAAGCTCTGAAGACAACGTTTCACCTGTAATCTTTCAGATACTTGCCTGTATTGCTGGTGCAACGTGAACACCACGGACAAAGCTGTCTACCTGTCAATTGACATCTCGAAGAAGAGCAATGGAAACATGCAAAGCCTTGTCGACGACTTCGAGACCCCAGTCAAAGTATCGGGAATGACGTGCCCTATGTAAGAGAAACAGACAAATCTGACCCTTAGATGTGAAATCAACAATTGTAGATGCGAGAACAAGGAGTTCGTGTGTGTGACTGTCTTTGAAAAGCTGCCAGAGGTGCTTCTGTACTTTGTTCCACGCGTCACCACTAGAGACAAACACGTGAAAGACTCGACGGTTGTGGAAGTGCAACAAGAACTCACCATGAAAGACGAAGAGAATGAGCACAAGTACGCACTGTGTGCGTTTGTGGTTCACGACGGCAAGAGTGGAAACAAGGGACACTTCAAGACGTTTGAGGTGGACCGTACTAACGAGCCGGCCGTCTACAACGAGTACAACGATTCGAGAGTAAGAGCGATACAGTGTTTCAGTCAAATATATGCAATCGTTGCAGGTCTCGCTGAACGCCAAGCTTCCAAAGGACACCACAGTCGTTCTCGCAATGTTCCGCAAAGTGGAAGCTGTCGTCCGTGACTCCCACACTGACGTCATCTTCGACGGCCGCGGCAACATCATCTACGCTCATCCAAACAACTATCGCCAGCGTTCAACGCAGTCTTCTTCCCGTTCCTCCCAGCAGAGAACCCTCGCTCCTCCAACTTCCCCTTTATCGTAAATTGTGATTTATCTTCTATCCCTTTTTTTTCTATCCCATGCCTGTAACCTGCTTTACTCCCGTTGTCCTTTTTCTCCTCCCCAGTTTCATTTCACCCACTATTTATTTATTCATCCATCTTTAATTAAGTGGATCTCTTTTCCTCCTTCGTTTGCTTTAGTATAGTTCAAAAATTCCAAAAAAAATGTGTTGAGCAATCTATCTTTTTCTACATTTCTTCCCCCTATCCATTTTTTCATAACAAAGCGCAAACACTGCGCAATCATTTTCTGTTTTCATCGACATTTGCAACCTGAGACATCGTTTTTCTTCTGGGTTTTCTTTTCCACACTCCTTCCCGTTTCTCAATTCTTCTAATGACAATCCATCTCTATTATTTATCAGAACCTGGCCTGTGAAATCCCGAAAAAAACACGTAGACTTCTTCATTTTTTGTAATAAATACGTAGTTTTTGGGACTGATCTACACAATTACTGTTTGGAAGGCATTAACTACACGAAACATTATACAATCAATGCATTTTCATCAGTTGGGCCATTTTCTTGTCAATGGCGGCCAGGAAGTCTTCGGTGATGAGGAACATTCCCTTCTCAGTTCCCTTTTTCGATCCGTGAATGCAGATTGAAAGGTCTTTCGTCATTTTTCCCTCTTCAACTGCGTCGATGCATACCTTTTCCAGTGTCAGGGAGAATCTGATAAAGACATATGAGATGATCGACAATTCTTTCGACGCATACTTTTTGAGATCTTCGTTGTTATCGAGCACTCCTCTGTGGTGAAGTCCTCTGGTCCAGGCAAAAATTGATGCTATTGGATTGGTTGAAGTTGAATTTCCCTGAAAACTTAAGAATCAGAGAGTCGGCATTACCGTGAGTAGTACCTTCTGGTGTTCACGGTAATGACGAGTGACTGTTCCGTGAGCAGCTTCGGCTTCAATTGTGCTTCCATCGGGACACATCAGAACTGACGACATGAGGCCAAGAGATCCGTACCCTGCAAAATTTCGTTCATGATTCCAAAATATAGAAAAAAGCATACCTTGAGCCACGATATCACTCTGAACATCACCATCGTAGTTCTTGCAAGCCCACACAAATCCTCCGGAGCTTTTCAAGGCTTGAGCCACCTGATCGTCGATCAATCTGTGCTCGTACCAAATTCCATTGCTTTTGAAATCAGCCTCATATTTACTGAAATAATTTCAAAATGGTTTGAAAAACTCATCTAAGTGCTCACTTTTCATAGATTGCTTGGAAAATATCCTTGAACCGTCCATCATACTTCTTTAAAATTGTGTTCTTCGTGGAGAGGTACAATGGCCATTTCTTCATCAGTGCATATTGGAAGCACGAATGTGCGAATCCTTTAATACTCTGAAAACTGACTGTTTCATAAAAATTCGTGACTGCTCCAGGCTCACCTCATCCGTGTTGTACATAGCCAATCCTACTCCAGCCGAATTTTTGAAGTCGTACACAGTGTGCACGTCTTTGGTACCATCTGACTTGTTCACAACCAATTGGAGAGTCGATCCACTTGGAATCACTAAATCGGTGCATTTGTACTGATCTCCGAATGCGTGACGTCCAATCGTAATTGGTTTCGTCCATCCGGGGACAAGTCTTGGAATGTTTTTGCAGAGAATTGGCTCCCGGAACACTGTTCCTGCAATAGTTTTTTTTTCAGTTTTTTAGTTTGTAGTTTAGACGTACCTCCAAGAATGTTTCTAATTGTTCCGTTTGGTGAGAGCCACATCTTTTTGAGTTTGAACTCCTTCACACGAGCTTCATCTGGAGTGATCGTGGCGCACTTGATGCCGACGTTGTACTTGAGAATCGCGTGGGCCGCATCGATGGTCACCTCAATCGGATATGTTCACAAGGTTTTAGTATTTCTGATTCACCTGGTCATTTGTTTCATCTCGGTACTCGAGTCCAAGGTCGTAATACTTGATATCAAGATCCAAATACGGAAGAATCAGCTGCAAACTGTTTCGGTTCTCAATAACTGGGACTAGTTCACAACCTTGTTCTTGATTTCCTTCCAGATGATCCTTGTCATTTCGTCTCCGTCCAAATCCACAACCGGATTCTGCACTTTGATCTTCTGCTGCTCCTGCGTCGCTGCAGTCGCCACACTCCGGGTCAGCAAGACGTTCTTCGGAGCAAATCGGCTCAACATTCTTGCCGCCTGCAACTTGAATTCAAATGATAGTTTGAATTGAAAACATGAATGATGCAACCGAGATGTTGACGTGGAACCAAGAAGATAGAGGGAATGAAAGGAAGGAAGAGGGGATGGCCGTTTGTACGCGCAAACGGTCATGTTGATAAGAAGGACACGATATTTTCTTGTTATCTTGATACACTGCCCGGTCTTTTGCGTGGCGAAATCGGAATAGTGTGCAAACGAAGAAAATGATAAGAAATACGCGAGAAGGAACAGATAGATCAACATGGTTGTGTTGATTTCGAAGGAGAAAGTACACTACAGTCGATTTCGCACAACAAAACTATTATTTTCAATAACCAAACAACCTTCCCTCTCCTCACGGACCCTCATAGCACAGAGTCTGCAGACACGATAATAGACGGACAATTGCGGAATGTGTCGTCATTGTACTAGACAAACGACCTGTTGCTGTATTGATTCATTCGTTTTCGCAATCTTAACGATTCTAAGCTATTTTTGACCACTTTATTACGCTAATACTCCAGTTCCTGGTCGTGATTCAATTTCCGTCGTATCAGTTTGCTCATTAAATGCCATGTTCAGGATGTCTTCTATCAAAAAAGGAACTTGGTGTGTTATCCTAATTATTGGGGTGTTGAGCGCATTAACATGCGAATTTACAGGTAAACCTTTTACTGCAAACATTAAAAAGTGACTGTTTTTATTTCAGATCAGCTCACATATCTCCATGTCGCCGTTCATTTAGTCTTGCTCACAGTTATTCACTTCTCGCTAGTGTTTCCATTGGAAGATCTACTCGACGGACTTGGTCTGACCCTCTACGACCTGTTCACCCTCTTCTATGATCCAGAAGAGTATGGATTCATCGAATATGTCTGCAAAAGACAAGCTCTTTTTCGAGTTTTTGTTGCGTCTTATCCTACGTGTGAGTTTTTTATTCTTTACAAACTATTTTCAAAACGGAGTTTTGCAGTTGTATCCGCCTACTTTGTGCACGGACAGTTCTTCATGGAAGAAGATGTGAGCCGCTTCCCGCCGCTCCTTGACAATCCAAACCTCTGGAGTGTCATCTTAATTTCGTCCAGCATCTGTATGATTAATAATTTTTTGACAAAAGTGACTTATTTTGTCTATTTTCAGTAACAGTAGCGTACTACTTCTACATCAGAGACTACACGAAGTGGTCCTTCTACCAGTACTTCCTCGATAATCCGGAATGTCTCGAGCCCGTGCGAGAGTTAATCCTCGACGCAGACACGTTCAGAATTCGGTTCTCCCGTAAGTGTCAATACCGTCCGTTGTACGAAATTTCAATTCTTCTGTTATTTTTATTTCAGAACGCGCATATCTCTACTGCACCAGGGAGTACTTTGTTTACGTGTCCAACTGGCGATTCATAGCAGTGAAACAAGCAGACTTGAGACTTCAGGTGGATGCCACGAGGATGCCGATGGTACAGAGCATCATAGTCTAAAAATGAGTTCATGAATTTCATTTTCAGATTCCCAATCAAGAAGATGAAGAGCGACTGAGATACATCTTTGTCAAAGTCAGCTTCCGTCCAACGTATCTGCCGACGTTCACTCTTAGGTGAGTTCTATTAAACCCAATCGGTTTCAATGACAAAATTACAGCTTGCGGCACGATTTCTACCGTCAAATCAACGAAATTCTTGTGATCCCGATCATTGTGCCGCCTCACATCTACATTCCGCTCACAATTATGGAGGAATTGAAAGAAGTAAGCGTCATGAAGACAAGAAAACCTTCTTCAAATTTTCATTTCACTTTTCAGGATTTCATTGAGAGAATCGCACAAAACGACCGACATTCACATCATATCAAAGAAGCAAGCGATAGAGAGCCGTGTTTCGCTTGCGGCACAGAAGACAATATCATCAAAATAGTGAAGACGTGCGCGAACAACACGGAGCGGTGGCAGTGGAATCGAGAAGGACAGCGCGTGTATACGAGCCAGTGCGAGCCATGCGTCTGTCGCCCTTTATGGTAAGTGGTCCGCGCGGATTGGGTTAAGAACAAAAGTGCATGACCCGCACATGTCCGCGAGATGAATTACCGGGAGAGTGGCTAATTATGCAGTCGTGACGGGAGCGATGCGGGATGACAGGTGGATGAGAAGCCATGAAAGGCGCTCGTTTTCCGTCTGCACCAGCACCTGTCCTCCATTCATTATCCTGGTATTGAAATAACATATTTGTATGCTCATTTCACGGTTCACTAATCATCGAGCTGTTCGTTTCAGGTGCAATCGGTGTATTGCTCAAATCTTCATCGGCAAACAGAACATTGACGATATCTACAGACACGACTACTGGAGGGGTACCAGTCAGTGCCCGACTTGCAGAAAATGCTTCTGCGTCCGCGATGTGCACCTCGTCGATTTCGTTCTCGAGGAAAATTGATATTGCAATCGTTTTCTCGTTCTCGTTCTCATCCCCCATGATTGCTTTTTTGTATTTCTTCCTCCTTCCCAGTAGTGTGCATACATGCCACATTTCCATGCTCTGATGATGGCACTATGCCATCAATCTCGGCTAGAATCAACTGCCTTTTCACCAAATGCTTTTTGCTTTCTCGCAGATGCTGTATTCGTCTGCCGTTCGTTTGTTTCACATGTGTTATGGGTCACGCAGCTGTTTTTTCCGCGTTCCTCTCCGCCTTTCATCGCCTTCTGGTCTATCCCAGCACCCAACCCTCTTGACATTCCGTGTCGTCTTCACAGCTCATATTTCTCCCCGGCCCCTTTCCTGACCCCCCGTGCACTTGGGCGGTCGAACGCTTAACCAAACATCTTTGAACGCACTCGCCAGTGCATCATCACAGACAAACAACTCGTGTATCGTGCGAACTAACCTACTCGGAAGAAGAGCCGCCGCCGACAGTGTTTATGGATGATTTGTAGACGTGTGAGTGTGAGCCCTCCCTTTATGACCAACTGAACAGCCGCCTTATCGTCATCCCTTTGGTGACGGGCGAGGGCGCCGCTCCACCCGTTACACTCCGCCCTTCCTCCCCTTTACACTTTCGCTCTCACCTTCCCTCTCAACCTGCTCCGTCATTTGCCCTACTTTTTTCCCCGTTCTCATTATCTTGCTCTTTTTAGTCATCCGGTGACTAAATTCAGAAAATAAATTCTTTCTCTTTGAGTTCTTTCTCATTTTGTCTTGAAATGTATCCTTAAAGACGAAGGACTAGTGAATGACAGTGAGCCACTGAAAAAGACAGAATCTGGGCATTAGAGGCACAAGCCACATTCTCGTGCTCATGTGCTGCACTTTTGACTCGTTTTGGCGAAAAATGTGGTCGTTGTCGCCCTTTTCCACTCTTATCAGTGAAGTTGCCGCGTGAGTAGGTGCTCCGGCTCGCATTAGTATTGATCTATTGCTACTCCCCGACTACTCGTTCCGAATTATCTCTACTGCGCTTTAGGGGCATATATTCCATATGGCGGCAAGTATTTCGACATCCGCCAGTATGGAAGCTCCTCCTGACAACCAGCGTCGTAAGTTATCATTTAAGTCATATGACAAATGAGATCTTTGTCTTCAGTGGCGGTTCCTCAGATAAATCGGTATCGGGGGTACTCGGTGAGCAGTGTGCCCTTGGATAGACTTCCTGTTAATGATCGAGCGCAACCCGCATCTAGTACCGCTCCGATGAGATTTCCGGCGGAGCAAGAGCAAAGAATGGAAGTTGGAGAGGAAGGAAACGATGAAGAAGAAGGCGGCTCAGACGCGGAGAGCGAGGATTTCGAGCTCGCGAAAATTGTCATGAAGCCTCTGCCGCCTTCAGTCCCGTGCCAAATGGATAGATTCTTACACAATCTCAAAGTCGGAGTTTTTGTGGCAACTATCGAAGGTAATCAAAAACAAATCTGTGCCTTTTTAAACTTTTGGGGTTCTTTCAGTTTTGACCGACCGCAACAAAGATAATCTTCAGCAAATCCGTAAATTCGCTCTCAAAAAAGCGGATGAATTGATCGCGAGCACCGGAGAAGTGGTTGTGCCGGAAATTCCTGGAAGACCACTCTGTGGAACTCCAAGAATCAAACGGGATTTTAAAAGAATGTCGGCGCACATTGACTACTTCAACGGTAAATTTCTGATCAAATTTCACCGAGAAATCAACTTCATTTCCAGGATTGTGCAACAAGTTCGTGGAAGAATTCGATGGATCGCCGGACCGCGTGAGAAAACTGCGCAGAGCCACAGGCTACATCAAGGGAGTTCTGGCCATGCACGGAGAGGAAGTGTACAATATCACCGAAAAACCGGTCATCGAGGAGTTCGAAGACATGCTCAATCTCTTCCAAGTCAACGCGGTTCTGTTCATCGAGGTAACAGATGAGATTCCGAATGTCTCTTTGACTAATCTTCTTTTTTTCAGTATCTCAAAACTTATCAGGACAAGTAACTCGAAATGTGCCATCAACCACCCCCCAAAGTCATTATTTTCCTATTGTCATTCGCCCCCAGTGTTTCATTTTTTTAATTTTCAAACTCAATTTTGTTTTCTTTCCGTTTGGTTCACAGTGAATTTTCCGTTGTTTGAGAGATCTCGGAACCGAACAAAGCGTTACTTTTTTAAATGTTATCAATAAATGTGTTGTTTTTCATCATTTCCCGAGTGAAATATCCGTTCTTCCTAACTCTTCGCAATCCAAAATGTACACAATCTCGGGCCGGCCCTTCGGACACGAGAAATGGGCCGAAGGCAGTGAGTGGCAACCGAGTGAGAGACGCCGACCACGAGAAATGCGCCAGCAGCCACCTTATGATCCCACTCGTCCTTGGCAGTCATCTTTTGAATTTTCCATGCAGTATGTTGCTGAAAAAGAGAAAAATAATATATTCTGTGATTATTTCTGCGTTCATTCTCATTCTAATACTAATAAAACATAAGAAACCGATCAGATCGGATGTTACTTGGCCTTCCTCTAATAAAATAGTGATTTATAACAGAGTAAGTTACTTTTTCGTGAAAAAATAATTTTCGCCTTGTTTCAGATTCCGAAAACAGGATCGACAACGTTTGCAAACGCGATAGCTTATGATTTGTACAAAGAGAACGGATTCAATGTGCTCCACGTGAACATGACCAAGAATCGACAGGTATTTCGGGTTTTCCGTTTGTTTCGGAATAAATGGTTTCAGGTGATGAGTCTGCCGGACCAATACACATTTATCAACAATATAACGACGTGGACGGATCGATTGCCCGCTTTCTATCACGGACACGTCGCTTTCATCGATTTTCAAAGGTTAGTACTTGTTTACCCCATATCTGTACTACAACTGAGAGCTCAGGATCTTAAACCTCCAGAACAGAAATATATTGACAGATCAAAGCTCAACAAGATCATTTTGCTTCCAGGTTCGGCGTCGCCAACCCGATCTACATCAATATCATCAGAGAACCACTAGAAAGACTCCTCTCGCACTACTATTTTCTTCGATACGGAGACAACTACAGAGTGGGATTGAAACGGAGCCGGGCAGGCAACAATGAGGTACGTGTTTGCTGAAAACGGACTGGTACAAAGTCTTGAAGCAAGAATCCAAGAGTAGAAATAGCTGCTGCCTGATTTTCGTTCATCCCAGAGATGGACAGTAGGCCCCCTGGGTTTCAGAAGGCCCGCCGAGAACTTTTGATTTACTTGAAATAATCCGATCGGACCAAACTTTGCAGGTTTCTTGTATTTTGAGTAATGTATCTTTGGTCCAAGTTTCCGTTCAATCGGATAATAAACTCCAGAGAAATGTGGTTGAAATGCTAAAACCCCCGCATTTTCGGCCTCATATCCACATATCTCTGGACTAGATAATCCGATCGGTTTGAAATTTAGACTCAAAATATTCAAAAAGCCTGCACACTTTAGGTCCGGCTTTGGAAAGCCTTCGAAAAACCTGTATATACTCTAACATATTCACGCTTCCCAAAAAAAACCATAAATCAGATTTCCTCAATAATTTATTGTTCTAGACATTCGACGAATGCTACTCTCGCGGCGGAAAGGACTGTGACATGAAACAAATGTGGATACAGATCCCGTATTTTTGTGGTCATTATCACTTTTGCACGTATGTTTTCAGATTCAATCAACATTCAAAAATTGCTTTTGATTGATTTCAGAGAAGTCGGGAGCGCAGAAGCCCTAAAAATGGCAAAGCGAAATGTACTGGAGAAGTACCTACTAGTGGGAACCACGTCCAGAATGCGCGACACTATTGCACTGCTCGAAGTCACTGTTCCCGATTTCTTCAAAGGCGCTCTCAGTCATTTTGATAGTCTCGACTGTAATTTTTCAATGCTTTTAATGAGACAAATGTCCGTTTTACAGCAAATCGCTCGCACTTACGGTATACAAAGAAGAAAGTGCCTCCGAATGATCAGACTTTGTCCATGATCCGTCGAGATGGAGTGTACAGAATGGAACGGGAGCTGTACGATTTTGTGAGCGATCTGTTTGATGCATTATTCAAGTGAGTCATCAGATTTTCTCATGTTTCGTGTCCCTTAAGGGGCCTGAAAAATAGGCCGAAACACAAGTCTATCCCTTCTGTCCATGATGACCGAAAAAGATGGCACTACTCAAGTCGCAATCAATTCCGTTACGGAAATGATGCATCAAGAATGTAGCACCTCATTAGCCATTCCCTTTTTCTCTCACTCGCTCTGCTTGAGTGGGCGCCGCGGCCAAATTTTTGTCTCACTGCTTTCCAAGAAGCATTGCTCGTTCTAGAAAAAAGAGTGCTTTGGAAATTGGAAATTGGCTTTCAACGCAAAAAACGAAGCCAATATTAGTAACGTTGGAGCCTTTGCAACGGGTGTACATGAGTTAGAATAAGAAAAGTGTGGTTTTTCAGAAAAGCAACAAACGGAACATCGAAAGCAGACGACCTGAAAAGGATGCCAACACAGTACCACTTCGAGAAGATCAAACCGTCATGAACTGGTGGCTTCTGATGTAGTTAGTACGCTTTGCCACGTAGCCATTTTGCACAATTATCAGCTTTAATAGATTGGATCATCTGCTCGATTTATTTTTCTCCTTTCTATTCACATGTATAATTATTCACCAGGACTGCGAGTCTCTTCCATCAAACTGGTGCTTTCCTCTCCTTTTTCTTCTCCATTTTTTCTGCGTTGTGTGCTTCTTTTTCCCTTCTCTTACTCTTCTGTCCATCCTCAAACGGGTCAGTCGATCTGTGTCGTGTTGCTGCGCTTCTTTATGCCATCTGGTACGTTTTCACGTATGATATGTTTCGTTTCTTTCGTGAATAAAGTGTGTGAAAACACTGAAAAACAAGTGTAATAATGCACAAAACATTTATTGGACAAAATATGATAGAGAGAACAGAGCGAGAGCGTGGGGAGAGTTTGTGCCGACAAGACTACATTGCCACAGTGATAAGAACATTTTGTTCGTTTTATCGATTCCAGCCCACTCTCCTGCTCTCATTGCCATGGATTTTTGCACTTCACTGCTTGAATGTTTCGGTAATTGTTTCTGTTTTATTCTAGTCCCGTTCAAGTCGCTGTGGAGACGGTTAGACAACAAGTTCACTAAGTTTTCACTGGCAGTCGATGAGGTTTCTTTTATCTCTGAAAAAATAAACCCATTCAAAATTAAACTTGCTTTGCAGATAGTTCAAGACCGTAACTTGCTGAGCGTTCCAGAGAAAGTATGGACTTACTTCTGCTACAGTGTCTACCTCAATTTCGGCATTGCTCTCATTGCATTTGTATGTAATTGCCCATTACAAACAAAAAATTCAATGTGTTTCAGATCGGAGGAATCATGTGCTTTACACTCGGCCTGTACTATTCCACATTCTACTCTCGAATCAATTGTGAAAATGGTCTCAACATTTGGGTTCCTCTGAACAATCTGGTGAGGCTGTTTGATATTGTTAACTTTTGAAGAAGATAGATTTCCAGGTGAAAGTGAAATTGATGAAACGTTTGATGATATTTGATATCATAGGAATTGAAAAGAGAAAAAAGTAAAGTAAACATTCCAGATCGCAACCTGGACAGGGTTCTTTGCAGTCAAAGCACTGCACATCAGATGGTCCGCTTTTGTACACCTCGTTTTTACGGCGACAATGACACCACTCATGATGATAGCCGCCGTCTACGCTACCACACAAATTCCAGTGTGCGTCGCTCGATCCGAATTACACAAAGTAACTGTTCCTTTACAGCTGGTATGAGGAACAAAAAATGAGTCGCGGTGGAAAAGATTGGGGAGATTGGAATGCAGCTGGTGACATGATGCTTGCGATTTGTTCTTACACAATCGGTAAGAAGGCAATAGTTCATTCAGAGTGAAATTGATGTTTTTTAGTGATCTTGTCTGTCTTCCAACTGTACATTTACTACAAGTACTGGCTTCCGGGTGGACAAACTTTGCGGACTCGATCCGTTTGAAAAAGTTGAATCATACTGGTCAAACGGATAAACCGACAAACTTCATTACGAAGATTTCTAATAAAGTCAAACTGAATGAAATTAATATCCTGGGGCAGTGCGTGGTGGTGGGCAGTGGTCGCAAGATCCCTTTGGTCCGGCGGCTCCAGCAGCTCCGTTCTCTCCGTCCTCTCCGTCCTTTCCTGGCTCTCCCTGACCTCCGTTGTCTCCTGGTGGTCCTGGTGGTCCAGCGCGTCCTGGATGTCCAGCACGTCCGTCTGGTCCTGGCTCTCCTGGTGCTCCTGGCTCTCCTGGCTGTCCTGGCTGTCCTGGTGGCGATGGAACCGAGCGGGTCTGTCCACCTTGTCCTGGGCGTCCGGCCTCTCCGTCTGGTCCAGCCTCTCCTGGTCCTCCGCGTGGTCCTGGTGGTCCACGGTTTCCACCGCGTCCAGCTCCTCCCTGCTCTCCTGGTCCTCCTGGTGGTCCTGGTGGTCCCTTTGGTCCTGGTCCTCCAACTGGTCCTGCTGGTCCAACTGGGCAATCGAAGCAGAACTCTGGTGGCTGGTAGTGGACTCCTTGCTCATCGGCGTCAGCTCCTGGAGCTCCTGGCTGTCCTGGCTTTCCGTCGTTTCCTGGGGCTCCCTCTTGTCCTGGAACTCCAGCGGGTCCGGTCTCTCCGATTCCGCAAGAGCAACAAGTGTGTGGGGCCTGACGCTTCTGTCTTCCAGAATCACGGATAACCGAGAGCTTCTCGATTTCACTCCTGCAGATCCATTCATATTTCTATAATCGAATTATAACTCACTTCATGTTGACGTTCTTGTTCTTGCAGAAGAGAAGCTCATCGGAGAGTCCGGAGTGGACAGTCTGCATGTGGATGCAGAGGAGTGGGACCGCGATGATTGCGATCAACGTGGCTACAGTCGAAACCGCCACTCCTGCATTTCAATTTTATTTAAATTATAAGTTTAAATCACTAACCGAAGAAGGCAAACTTCTTGAGATCAGCAGCATGCGCAAACTTTGTTCGCTCGTCCATTGCACTGGTGAATGTGAATCTACTCTTTTCAGCGGCCCTTTTGTAGTAGCCTGCTGACGGAAAGAGGAAGTATACCACGCCTTCTTAAACTTTGTGGATTTTTTTGGCAATGACTTTGCCGACGCCGTCTCTCGGTATTACGCGATCTCTTTTTACAGGTTTGTGGCAACCTTTCGCAGTTACTGCGTAATATTTTTTGGTATCGGGGAATTCCGTTGTTACGGCGAAAAAGCAAAATTTCCGTTTGATAAGCGAAACAGATACGGTATCATCCCATCGAATGATAAGAAGAAACAAAAAATGATGAAGATAAAAAGTTACGGTAATGATAATTTTGGAGGGGACTTAACGAAATTATTAAGAGATATAACGGAATTAATAGCTAGAAATTACAGATTTTCAAGCAAAACAATCGAATTTTACACAAAGGAAAATAACAATTCCTTGTGTTCTATAGCGATTTCTTAAATACATAGTACTGTGACGTCTGCTGTGGCATTTTTTTACTCGAAGGCACCAATTTTCACAAAGTTTATAGAAAAGTTAATTGTAACATTACATTATCCGCAACATAGACTCAAATTGAGTTTTGATGTCTTCATTTGTCATTTCTTGTCCATACTGATCTTTTGGTCACGTACTGTGTGAAAAAGCTGGATGGTGTAGTGATCACAATAACGTTAAATTGAGGCAAACATCTTTATTTGCATGAAATTTACTAATTTCGATAAAACAAATTG